CAGATACGGGCATGACAAACACACTTTTGAAAAGCTTGAAGTCTGGCGATTCCAAAAATATATACTTTCCTGGGTCTATTTGTAGTCGTTTGGTCCCAATTAGAAGATGAAAACAAGTATGCAAATAATAGTCCTGCTACCTTAAACAAGATTTACAAAATAAAGTCACTGAAATCTTTTCTTAAAAAAAAAATTCCCAGACTCGCAAAATCCTGAAAATTTGTATTGAATTGAATTTATTTCTATCTACGGTGTTCTCCCAGGAAAAAATAGAGTAGAGGTTCCCAACTGTTAAATTTTGGATAAATGATATAACAATTTGCATAACAATAGAATGTTAATGACTTCTATTGTATTCTTATGCTAAATTAGTTGTGTTTATATAAATGACAGACGAGTCTCAAATAAAAATTATAGGTCATATTTTAATGATCCAGCATACATTAAATTTAATTTTTGGTTTCTCTACAATTCTAGAGCAAATATATGTGGAGTATACATGTAGATATTTCAATGTGTTTCTTTTAACATACAATGTGCTCATGTCAAGTGTCATTTGTCAAACCTGCTAGCTACCACAATAAAAAACAGGCTCAGGAACGTTTATAGTCAATTTTGTTTTTTTCTTTTAATTTTAAAATTGTCCAAATTTTCTTTTAATTTTGACAAAAAGTTTGGATGGCAATCAGAAAGGTTCATTTCATGAAATGTGTTACTGACTTGATACTATGCTTGTTTACAGATGGTGAGATCACCGGCAAACCAATGGTGTTGTTTTTAGGACCATGGAGTACTGGTAAAAGTACTATGATAAATTACTTGATTGGAATGGAAGGCACAGCAGATAGTTTACATACAGGTAGTTTATCACACTCAACCCCCCTCCCTCCTCCCAAAACATCTGTCTGCAGTGCACATACCATTCTAACAAATAATAATTTGATGTTATTTTTAAATATGAATAGATTCTTATAATCGATAATTCTGTGTCTTGGATCTTAAAATTAATCATATACTAAGATCACAGAGTTCATTGTATAAATCAATATATTTATTGTGCATTTTTAGCCAGAACAATTTGTTAGTACACCAAGACTATCGTAAAATTATGTAAGCCGGGTTCAATAATAAAAATCTAAATGTCATGAAGTACCATTCTATATATTCATTCTCATCCACTTTTCTAGTCATCACCAATCAAATTAGTTCACACGATAATCTTGTAAATATGTCTTCTTTCTTTAAGGTGCTCAACCAACAACATCTGATTTCACTGTGATCATGAATGGTAACAAAAGCCGATCTATAGAGGGCATAGTACTTACAGCCGACGGTGACAAATCATTTGCGGCACTGTCAAGCTTTGGAAAAACATTCCTAGAAAAACTTCTTGGTTATGAATACTCGTATGACCTGCTGGAAAAAATAACCGTCATAGACACTCCTGGAATTATTGAGAATCGTAAACAGCAAGAAAGAGGCTACCCATTTAATGAAGTCTGCCAGTGGTTTATTGACCGGGCTGATTTGATATTCGTCGTCTTCGATCCAACAAAGCTTGATGTTGGTACTGAGCTGGAGTCAATATTTAAAATGTTGAAAGGTCGTGAATCTCAGATTCGTATAATTTTAAACAAGGCTGACAGTATTGAACCACAGGAATTGATGCGGGTTTATGGAGCACTATTCTGGAGTTTAGCACCGCTAATCAACGTTACTGAACCTCCCAGAGTTTACATTGGATCTTTCTGGTCAAGACCATACAAGATGCATACTCACTCTGATTTGTTTCTCCAAGAAGAAATTTCTGTGCTACGTGATCTTCGCGATGTCATTGAAAATCGGCTTCAGAATAAAATTGCTTTCATACGACAACATGCCATATCAGTTCGTATACATGCATTGCTTGTAGACAGATTCATCTCCACATTTAACGACAAAAAACCGAACATGCTTTTTGGTAACCCAGAAGATGTTGCTCGGGACATAATAGAAAATCCAAACAAGTATTACATATTCAAAGCAGTAGCATCTAAAGTGAATGTGAGTAAATACGATCTACCAAGACAAGATGATTATAAGGATTTTTTCAGTATCAATGCAATTAATTCATTTCAATCATTGGATCATCACTGTAGTTATTTTAATGGTTGTTTAATGGATCATATCGAGAATGCGATATCCAATCAGCTGCCAAAGCTGCTCAGTGACCTACGTAAACAAAAAAATGTGACCCAGACTTGCCAGGCTGATGGTACGTGCAAAGAAGAGAAACTACAAACAAACAAATACAAAAAACCATAGAAGACTATAAATTAGGGGAGAAAAAAGGTTTTGCCTTTCTTGATTATGAACGACGTGGTGCCGCAGTTTAAAATTTCATTCTTGTATTAAGCATATTTAATACCACAACAAAATAACATTGCTTAACGTTTATTTAGATCAACAAAATATCTTTTGAAACAATGTTATTTGTTTTCTCCACTGATTCTTGTCTGAATATGTTTATCCAGTGTAGCACTGACCCAGAATGCAGTATTTCTATTTGGTAGCTCGTAAATCAAATTATGCATACATGGATTGAAGTTGACTGCAAATGCATTGCTTCTCATCATTTTTATACTGTATATTCACAGTATTCTAAAGTTAGTATGAAATTTAATACATATACACATTTTCAAAACTTATCGACTATCTGAATACACATATCACAATTTACAAACTACACTTTTTTTTATGTCTTTCAATGAAAATTTTACGCCAATTTTTTCTTAAATTAATGTCATATTTTGTTTTTAGTGAAATGCAAGTTTACTGCATGTTCTCATCCAGGCTTCGAAATTAACATTTTTTTTTAAGTCTGTTGGAGTACTGTATTTTTAAGCTCTGCCATCATTTTGTATTTGTTTTTGACTATTTTTAAAACTACATAATGTTGATCAATGACCATCTTCAGACTTATCAAGCTAATAATTTAAAGGGTAGTGGTCATTATGTGCAGTCAATATGCTTGCTACTTTACACAAAATTTGAAGACATAATGACCATCGCCTTCATGGGAGGGGTAGTCAACAAATCACGCATCTCAACTTGAGAACATTTTTCACAATTTAACTTTTAGTTAATCAGGTTTTGGGTTCACCCATTTCAGAAACATTCAACATCTACTTACTTAATTTTCACTGACATCCTTAGAAGTTAATAAAATGACTAGAATTGAATACTTTTAAAATACTTTATTTTAGCTGTAAGGATGATTCAGAGAAAATTAAACTAACAAAAATCAGTGAAAATAACTTAAATTCCATACAAAACACCCCAAAGTTCTTTTCACCTAAAATTAATAATTTCACAGTAGCAAGAGTTAAAGCTTGGAAAGATCGAAGCAATTTTTACCCATCAGTGTTTTTCCCAGGAAAATATAATAGAAGTACAAGTAAGCTGCATAACAATGCAATATGGATTTCTATTTTTTCATTGAGATCTCTACTCAATAATGCTCTGTGAATAACCCAACTGATATACAATTAGTCTTCACAGCACTGGATAAAATTTACTCAAATTATATTGCACAATTTTTAATCAAAATTAATTTTTTTAAAAACTAAACCTTGAAATGTGTTAAAATTTGATGAATTTGACTACTGTTGTGAAAAGATCCTTGACAGTTAATAAAGTAAATGATTTATTGCTTGAAAGAACCATTCCTAAAGTGGAAGTTAATTAATTTTAAAATTGTGTGTTAACACATTGCCCACTGACACCCCCCCCCCCCCCATTGATTTTGGTATGTTTGTAGAAGCATTCAGCAGGCATGGTGTTAAAGGGTAATATTGATATCCCGTGTGATGTCATAAATATGTCTGTAATTCTTATGTAGGTGTAACCTGAACCTGGTGACGATCTGGAAAATTGTAATTTGCTGTGCTTTGAATGAAATAATAGTGGATACACACGGAATGTCATAAAGTTAGTATTTATTTATTGATAAATTGTCTAGTTAGCAATGCATCCTGGGAATGTTTTTATGACTGATATCCAGGGAGACTGATACTTGTTGGTTGTATTAAGTTCAATAGTGCTGAATTGAGTGCAATAAAAAACAAAACAAAATAAAAGCACAAATCTGTTTTACATTTGCTTTAATCCATTTGTATTTGAATAGATGTGTGATACTGTTGGGTGGATGTATGATGTATTCTTGTAAATATGTGATGCCCTCAGTGGATGTGTGATGCCCTCAGTAGATGTGTGATGCCCTCAGTAGATGTGTGATGCCCTCAGTAGATGTGTGATGCCCTCAGTAGATGTGTGATGCTCTCAGTAGATGTGTGATGCTCTCAGTAGATGTGTGATGCCCTCAGTAGATGTGTGATGCCCTCAGTGGATGTGTGATGCCCTCAGTGGATGTGTGATGCCCTCAGTGGATGTGCGATGCCCTCAGTGGATGTGCGATGCCCTCAGTGGATGTGTGGTGTGCTTGGGTGGCATCTTCGTGTGATGTCTTTGGTTGCTGTGTAATGACCTCGGGAGATGTGTGGTGTGCTTGTGTAGATATGTGATGCCCTCAGTGGCACCCTTGTGTAGATATGTGATGCCCTCAGTGGATGTGCAATGCCCTTGTCTAGATATGTAATGCCCTCAGTGAATGTGCAAAGCCCTCAGTGAATGTGCAAAGCCCTCGTGTAGATATGTGATGCCCTCAGTGGCACCCTTGTGTAGATATGTGATGCCCTCAGTGGATGTGCAAAGCCCTCGTGTAGATATGTGATGCCCTCAGTGGCGCCCTCGTGTAGATATGTGATTCCCTCAGTGGATGTGCAATGCCCTTGTGTAGATATGGGATGCCCTCAGTGGCACCCTTGTGTAGATATGTGATGCCCTCAGTGGATGTGCAAAGCCCTCGTGTAGATATGTGATGCCCTCAGTGGCGCCCTCGTGTAGATATGTGATTCCCTCAGTGGATGTGCAATGCCCTTGTGTAGATATGGGATGCCCTCAGTGGATGTGCAATGCCCTTGTGTAGATATGTGATGCCCTCAGTGGATGTGCAAAGCCCTCGTGTAGATATGTGATGCCCTCAGTGGCACCCTTGTGTAGATATGTGATGCCCTCAGTGGATGTGCAAAGCCCTCGTGTAGATATGTGATGCCCTCAGTGGCACCCTTGTGTAGATATGTGATGCCCTCAGTGGCACCCTTGTGTAGATATGTGATGCCCTCAGTGGATGTGCAAAGCCCTCGTGTAGATATGTGATGCCCTCAGTGGATGTGCAATGCCCTTGTGTAGATATGTGATGCCCTCAGTGGATGTGCAAAGCCCTCGTGTAGATATGTGATGCCCTCTGGATGTGCAATGCCCTTGTGTAGATATGTGATGCCCTCAGTGGATGTGCGATGCCCTTGTGTAGATATGTGATGCCCTCAGTAGCACCCTTGTGTACATATGTGATGCCCTCAGTAGCACCCTTGTGTACATATGTGATTCCCTCAGTGGATGTGCAATGCCCTTGTGTAGATATGTGATGCCCTCAGTGGATGTGCAATGCCCTTGTGTAGATATGTGATGCCCTCAGTGGATGTGCAATGCCCTTGTGTAGATATGTGATGCCCTCAGTGGATGTGCAAAGCCCTCGTGTAGATATGTGATGCCCTCAGTGGCACCCTTGTGTAGATATGTGATTCCCTCAGTGGATGTGCAATGCCCTTGTGTAGATATGTGATGCCCTCAGTGGATGTGCAATGCCCTTGTGTAGATATGTGATGCCCTCAGTGAATGTGCGATGCCCTCAGTGAATGTGCAATGCCCTCGGTGAATGTGCAATGCCCTTGTGTAGATATGTGATGCCCTCAGTGGATGTGCAATGCCCTTGTGTAGATATGTGATGCCCTCAGTGGATGTGCAATTCCCTTGTGTAGATATGTGATGCCCTCAGTGGATGTGCAAAGCCCTCGTGTAGATATGTGATGCCTTCAGTGGATGTGCAATGTCCTTGTGTAGATATGTGATGCCCTCAGTGGATGTGCAATGCCCTTGTGTAGATATGTGATGCCCTCAGTGGATGTGCAATGCCCTTGTGTAGATATGTGATTCCCTCAGTGGATGTGCAATGCCCTTGTGTAGATATGTGATGCCCTCAGTGGATGTGCAATGCCCTTGTGTAGATATGTGATGCCCTCAGTGAATGTGCAATGCCCTTGTGTAGATATGTGATGCCCTCAGTGGATGTGCAATGCCCTTGTGTAGATATGTGATGCCCTCAGTGGATGTGCAATTCCCTTGTGTAGATATGTGATGCCCTCAGTGGATGTGCAAAGCCCTCGTGTAGATATGTGATGCCTTCAGTGGATGTGCAATGTCCTTGTGTAGATATGTGATGCCCTCAGTGGATGTGCAATGTCCTTGTGTAGATATGTGATGCCCTCAGTGGATGTGCAATGCCCTTGTGTAGATATGTGATGCCCTCAGTGGATGTGCAATGCCCTTGTGTAGATATGTGATGCCCTCAGTGGATGTGCAAAGCCCTCGTGTAGATATGTGATGCCTCAGCCGGAAGTGTGATGCCCTTGGATAGATGTGCAGTTTCTTTGTGTAGATGTGTGGTGCTTGTATTATATTCATGTGTATTTAAAGTTTTTACTTAGTAGATGGTTACCTACCTTTGGTTCAACTTCTTTCAACATTTCATAAGCAGTGTCATCATAATCTAATCTACAAGCCATCTGGAGATCTTTAGCTGCTTCTTCCCAGTGACCAAGTAATCTGAAAATACCATATTTCTATCAATTATCACAAGTATGCAAATCAGGAAATTTTGAAGCAATGAATTTTCACAAGGTTTCCTAAAATAAGAGTTTTGATTGACATTCATAAAATTAACTAGTCTTGTCAGTAAAACACCAGGCTGAGAGTGAGATACAAAACATCCCAGGATAATTTATAATTTGAAAAAATATTAAATATGTTATTACCAATGAGACCC